AGTCATCTTTCATGTTCATGATGTTGGGATACAGCTCGAATCTTAACTGCTTCACTGATGACACACCTCATGCGTACCAATCATTTGGCAAACATTTTACTTGTTAACTGATACCACACACATATGAACAAGGGACTGCATGACCTTGTGAGCTAAGATGTTAGACAAATATCTGATGTTAACATACTTCACTTCCTCATGCATTTCCTTTGCTGTACATTCGCATCACACTACTCACGATATTAATCATGTAACCTTTGTTGCATGCTGTGCTGTGACTTGTGATTGTGCATCTTGAAAGATGAAGTATAATGTAGATACTAACTGCAAAAATGCTCACAATCTCCCACCCCTGCCTTGGGATTTGGCCAACACTTCTGAAAAGTCACGCTCTGCCATTGATTCTATACATTCATAAAATGGCTTCTAGTGTATTACTTCAATAGTACATCACCAATCAATTATTCTAAAAGCTCCCCATCAAATAACAAAGTTCCTAACCATGTTATATTCCTTGAAAAGAATGGTGTGTATAAGATTTTGTGCTAGTTATAGACACAATGGCACTTTTGAATTTTAAATGTAAACAAACATTACAAAATCCAGTGCATCTCCGAGGTTGAAATAGTGTCATGATAGAGACAATAAAAACAAAGTTGAAAGGAAAAGAATACAGATAGTCTAACAAACAGAAACAACTGCTCCTGAAAAAAATAAATAAAATAGTCCACTCCATGCCTCTTGAGAATATCAATAGTTTCAGGCAAATGTCAGTATCAACAGATACCAATCCACAAACAATATCAACATTTCAGAAAAACTCGTGTCTGGCCTTGTAATTCAAAATGACCTGTATGCTTACACAATGTAACTTCAAGGTCTGGCATAAACGTAATGGTGGTTCCAGACACTAAAACAACGAGAAAAATTTGCAAGAATATGGGTCCCAGAAAGTCTTCTTCCCGAGTTATAGGCCTCTTTTACTTCCAAAATTACTGACGTAATGTTATACATCCATTTGTTTCCTTCTTCTCTTAAAAGATGCTTTTGGTAGAGTAGGAAAGAGAGGAAAACAGGGATTAACAATTTAGTGGTATGATGGCGCAACTAATAAAGATGGTATTCAATAGCAGTAATAAAAAATTCTGATAACTAAATATTGTTTAAATAGGATAGCTATACAAGTGTTAAAAATGAAACCAATTTATATTCCAAGAAATGACACATACATCTCATCTATGGACATGCAATGACCAGTAAGGTGGCCAGGCACCTCTACTAGTAATGTTTTCTTCATGAGCAACCCAAATAGGTACTCTCTGAGCACTTACTATGAAGTGATTACTCAAAACACAAAGGAAAATAAATCTTGGAAAG